CTTACCGCGGTGTCTTCACTCCGGTAAGTCGAAGGCTGATGCTCCCCCGTCGACTTTGCTTGCACCTCACACTCCGAGTTAACGGGAGAGCGCTCTGCAGTTGATTTACCAAGTCTAGACTAGATGCAATAAATTGACAAGCCCACAGTCTGTTTGTAAACCTGGTAACAAGATAGCACGGGGTAGGCAACCTGCAGCACGCGAGCTGATTTTCAGTGGCACTCACACTGCCCGGATCCTGGCCACCGGTCCAGGGGGCTCTGCATTTTAATTTAATTTTAAATGAAGCTTTTTAAACATTTTAAAAATCTTATTTACTTTATATACAACAATAGTTTAGTTATGTATTATAGACTTATAGAAAGAGCTCTTCTAAAAACGTTAAAATGTATTACTGGCACGCGAAACCTTAAATTACAGTGAATAAATGAAGACTCGGCACACCACTTCGGAAAGGTTGCTGACCCCTGAGATAGCATGTGTTGTTGTGGTATGTGTTATGTGATTATAAAATGCCATAGTTTCTATCTACACTCCCTGGAATTTTAAAATGGAACAAGGATACAAGCCCGCCTTGTTTTTGGTTTCCTTAGACAAAATGCAACCTAGGTTCTGTAAAAGCAAAACCAAGCCTGCTTGGTCCACCACTAGTCATCCTAATACATGTCAAAAGAGGGAGGAGGTTTAACGTTTCTGTGAGAAATTTAATTATAAATTGTTTTGGCTTTTGTGGGCGTGAAATCTCATACTCATCTATCAATTAATATGGGTGGTAGTGGTAGTTCTGTTTCTTAATTGTAATATTTATAAACAGGCATTTGGTACACATCTAACATTTTGTAGTAATAATAATCCATTTTAAGAATGTGGTATCTGTTGTCAGTAGGTGGGGCTATTGGGCATCCAAATTAGCTTCTTTTTAGAATGCAGGGTAAAACTTTGATGAAAAACATTAATAGAGATTATTGCACAGACTCCTCTGATAAGATCTTCTTTTTAGTTTTAAACTTGTATTAAGATTTTCACACATAGCAAAAATATAAAGGAAAAGGCACAAGATGCAGAAAATGTGCTACTTAGTTCCAGAATGCTTTTATTATTAATGAATTACTATTAATTTATTTTGTTTCGCACAGACAGCGTAGCGTGCTCATTTTCACAGAGACTGGGCACAAACCCATAGAAAAAATAATCTGAGTTAAAAGAGTCTGTGTCCTGAGCCTTATTCATAAACAACCAAACCAAACCAAACAGGGATTTTGGATTGGATGGAAACAAGCTTTCAGTATTTTAATCTCTTTTCCCTCAGTGGATTGACCATCATGGCAGTACAGGAAAGCAGATCTCTTTCTCAATGCACCATGAAATCTTATAACTGCCTTGCTCAGGGAAAACGAAGATTGGAGGCTGAATTTACAGTTTAGTAAAAGCCATGAAAGAAAAATAATTCCATAGGAAAGGAGTTACTATAAAAGCAGACAACAATCTTGTATAAATACTATATAGTATAAAAGCAGACAGCATGTTGTTATAAATTATAAAAAATTAAAACAATATTAAAAGGCAGACAGCAACATAGCAGAAAAAGAAATTCAGACTTAAGGCTGTTATAGTATCATTAATTAATTTCATATTATAGTATGTACTGCAGTGGTCTCCAAACTTCTTTGTCCTTGGCCTCCCCTTACCTAGTCCGCACCACACCTGGGAGCCACAGTCGGGATCCAGGGCCAGGGGCCAAAGTCGGGAGTGGGGCCAGCACCGCAGCTGGGAGCAGGGCCTGCGGTCAGGGCCACAGTCATGGCTTGGAGCCAAGGGCCATGGCCAGGAGCTGTCGCCAGGGCTTGGGACAGGGCTGGAGTGGAGCTGGGGGCAGAGCTCCCTCCCTGCCCTCTGTGGGGGCTGGCCCATCCCCCACCAGGCCCCCCTGAACATTCCTCCATGCCCCCCTAGGGGCACGCCCCACAGTTTGAGGGTCACTGATGTACTGTAAAATCACCCACAGATGCAAAATTCCCTCCAGCCTGACAGTGTACATTGACTCTAATATTATCCTGTCCCAACATGCATATCCCACTGATATAAGTCCCTAGGGGCTTTCTAGGAATGGGTTTAGGTGCAAATATACATTCAAATCTGCTGCATTGAACTCAAACGTTTCTATGTTTGATTTGGCAGATGTTTCATCTTGTGAAGTTACGATGCAGAATCACCACATCGGGATGTGTTGACACAAGGTCGTACACCTGCAGAGCAGGTGACAGGAGGGGTTCAGGTTTGCAGAGCTCCGTGTTCAGAACTTCAGTCCAAGCCCCTCTGTCTTTAAGACCATCACTAGTTTACCTCTGAGACTGAACATTATTCCAACAATCAATCTTTTATTTTATTCTTATTTGAGAATCCAAATTATTACTTGGTGAGAAAGATTTGTTACATAGATTATGCTGCATCTCATGAAAATTAATTACTGCGTGCTCATCCCCTCAAAGAGGACTAGGAGCCAGGACTCTTGGCGGCTCATCCCAGCTCTTCCACTGACTTGCTATGTGACCGTGGCCATGTAACTTAATTTCTCTAGGCCAAATTCCACTCTGGTTTCATGGTTACAATTCCTATTGATGTAAATAGGAATCTGTTCCTGCTGTATTTGTTGTCCACAGCATGCCAACTTGGTGTAAATACCACTCATTTTGCATACCTACTGAATGCCAAATCACTGCAAATTACACTGCTTTGCCACTTGCATCTGATGAATTTACATGTTGGGGTTGCTTCTCCACCAACTGGTATAAATCAGGCATAACCCCCTGAAGTCAATAGAGTTCAACTGGTGTAAAACCAGTGTGAGATCATAATCAGGATATCAATGTGTAGCATAGACAATGATTTACTTCATCCTTGCATTTGGCCCTCTGTACCTTTCTCATCTGTAAAATGGGTATAAAGCTTCACTAGGGTGCTGTGTAGCTTAATTAATTAAAAATGTTTGTCAGGTCCTTTGAGATCCTCAGATGAAAGAAGCGATGTGTAGTAATTACAGAGTTAATAAATAAATAATATAATTAGTATAATAAACAAAAAGACTTACTCCTCACCATGTAGTCTTGTAAACTTGTAGGTCCAGGTCCTGGCTCCATGACCCCTTTGGACAACTTCACCAGTGCAAAGGGGTTGTAAAGCTGGCTTACCCAGCCATCTAAGGATGGGGGAATCCCAGGTGCAACCTTTGCAATCTCCATAGCAGGGGGTTGGCCAGGGAAGAGATTGGCCAGACCATTTCTTTGCTCCGGTAATGCCCCTTGGCAAAGACTTGGCTTTGGCTAGCTCCAAGACGGAGTATGCATAACGGTAGTCTAAAGCCGATCATGTCCTGTGCTGAGCACAGGTCGTGACCAAACATGTCAAACCTGCAAAAAAAATGCAGAAATTGGGCTTCTTTTTGGCTTAATGTAAGTTGCTTGTTGGCTAGTTTTTGGCTTGTAGCTTGTTCCTTTTTTTTGATCGGCTCCCAGCAAGCAGGGGCAAGGGGGCGCAAGGTGGGGAAAGAGTCAGGGGTGCACAGTGGGCCTACCAAGGTCCCAGACTGCACGCCGGGGGGGATCTAGTCACACAGAGTGTTGGGGTTCTTAGGGATTGGCTTGTTTTGAAATGGGATTAGCTTGATTTTTGGCTTATTGTGAAAGTTGGGGTGCTTATTTACCGTGTGAAAGTGGGCAACTGTGGTCCTGACGTGAGGACCAAGTCCACAATTTTACAAATAAGTTAAGAGAAGTATCTCAATGCATCTTTTGTGACAATCAAGGCATGGTTTTCTGTTGACATTCTCATTAGTCATCCAGTGCTCAGGACTCTCCAAAGCACTCAGACTTTGCTAGGATTGTCATCCCATGCATTTTGCAATATTTTGGAATTGCAACTGGCTGACGAAGAGGTTAATTTGCTCACTTAAAAACAAACAAACTGGATTCAAAGGAGTACTTTTTATGCAGTATATAATTAACTTGTGAAAATACTTGTCAACAGCTATAACTGATGAAAACTGCATAAGATTAAAAAATAAACAGATATAAATGTAAGTGGCACCTTGCCCGACCTCCTAGACCTACACACACCCAGTTTTAGGGTAATTCAGATCAGAATGTTGCAACTGATCCTGTCTATAAAATGGGACAGATCAAAACCCCAAGCCTGCAACACCCTGAATTCTGGGAGGACTTCAGATCAGGATCTGAAATTTGTGGTTTAGGCTCGTCTTTACTATGAAATAAATAAGCATGTGTAGTTACACCAAAGAGGCTAAAAATCACAAGGGCCAGTACTACTCCAGCTTCAGTTAATCACCAGCTGGAGTAAGGAAGATGATTCTCTCTGAGACATAGTGTTGCACATTATTATGGTGCATTTTTTTACCTTTCTCTGAAGCATGAGGCATAGAGAAATGTCAGAAGACAGCATACTAGATGAGATTGACCATTGATCTTTTCTGTTAAAGCAGTTCAGAAGTTTTCTTCAATCATGCCACTCGCAAGATAAAGGGCTAACTTGAGCCTTGGCTGTATAAACAGGGGAATATCAAGTAGGAGTAGGGAGGTGATATTATTGTTGTCAACAGCAGTGATGACCACTACTAATTGAACACTGTGTCTTGGTGTCCACACTTTAAAATTGGAGAGAGTTCACAAAAGAGCTACAAAATAATTACAGTTTTGGTAATCATGTCTTAAAGTGAGAAACTAAAGGAGCTCAAGCTATTTAGTTTATTGAAGAGATGACCCATTCACAGTCTATAAGTACCTATGCAGGGTGAAAATATGTAATATTAAAGGGTTCTGTAATCTAGAGAAAAAGGCATTCAAACCAGAAATAAAGGACAATTTTTTAACAGTGGCAATTAACCATTGGAACAGCAAACAAAGGGATATGTGGTCGATTCTCCATCATGTGAAGTCTTTAAATCGAGATGAGACACCTCTCTAAAAGATATGGGTCACAGGCTATGCCTACACTGCCCCACAGTTCAGACTACGGGGGCTATGAATAGCAGTGTGCACCGAAGTGCTGAGTTGAAATGCCTCTGTGTGGATGCTGCAGGAGCGAAATAAAAGGTTCATAGTTCACATTAATGTAATCCTGTTTGAAGAGGATTACACTAATATGAACTAGGAACCTTTAAGTTTGCGCCCGCAGCAGTGGTGCTGGAACAATTTTTATAGTGGGGGTGCTGATGGCAAAAAACATGTATTTGAGTTATTACTATTTCAAGCCAATGGGTGCAGCAGCGCCCCTATTTCCAGCACTTATGGCCCGCAGTGTCCACATGGCCGAGTTACAGCACAGCACTTTGGTGTGCACTGCTATTCACACCCCCTAGTCTGAATTATGGGGCAGCGTAGACAAGCCAACAGTTTCAGTGTAGCTGCACCTGTATTTCCCTCTCTCACCTTGAACACCCCAAAAATGGAGACACCCAAAATTAGTGGCTACTTTTGAAAATTTGGTCCACAGTGCTCAGCAATATTGATTTATCTGGGAGACACCAGCAACCACTGCCATAAGAGCCATGCTGAGGGCAGGGGATCTGCTGGGCTGTGTGCAATTTGGAGATAAAGAAGGCAGTGTCATGTGGCTCTGCAACACATCTGCTTTTTGCTTGGAAAAAGAAGCCAGTGGTGAACTGCATGTTCCACTCTCCAGCTATAGGCAACATAAGCTTTATATTGCTTCCACCAAAGTCAGTGGCAAAACTGCCATTGACTCGAGTTTAATAGATCTTTAAATCCAGAAGGGATTGCTCCGATGATCTAGGCTGACCTCTTGTATTACATGTCATAGAATTGCAGTCAGTTAATCCTGTATGCAGCCTAACTTAATGGAAGCAGAATCGGCCCAAATTCTAATTTCTTTGCTATGGAGCTTTTTTCATTTAAACTTGTCTAACAGCTCCTAATATTTTAAATAAATAGAGAACAAATAAGTCAAATTTCAGCCTAATTGATATTTGAGAGGACCAAAAGTACCCTCCCTTACTTCCCCATACCTACCAAAATTGGGGTGTATGTACAAAAGAAACTCCAAATGACTGATGGCGCTACTGATATGCTGTAATTAACCAGCTGCCAGGTTTCATCTACATTTCTACTCTATAACTGCAAGGCTATAACAGAACAAACACACATCAGTTTGTGTAACAGTTCCTAAACTTCACTCACCATCACTTTTCCTGTCAGGTAGGCGTTACACAACTCAGCCTAGTAAATAGACATGGGCCTGAGCTGCAAAGCGTGGGTCAGCTCTGAATTTCACCACAGCTCAGGGACGGTCAGGTTTTGGTCAGCCCTTTATAAAGAGATAGGGATTAACTGCAAAGGTCAGGTCCAGATCTGAGCTTCTCAATGTTTTGTAGGGTTCCAGATTCAAGAGGATGGCTTCCATCCAGGCCTCCACCATTACTTGTCCGAGAGCTTAATTATGCTTGTGCACCACTGGCAGGTCACTCTCCTCTCTTGGATGCATAGAGCATTGGCTTCAGCAAGCACAGCCAGCAGGTGAGGAGGAGTTTCGCACCTCACTTCTCTTAAGTGCCATACACTATACTCTCAGCGCTGCTCTCATGTGTGAAGGCTACAGCAGAGGGCACAGAATGAAAGGTCAAAGAGGGAAAAACCAGCAGTCAGAAGGAAGGACAAGAGACTAGCCAACCACTGAGGCCTAAACCTGAATGACAGCCTCAGAACAGAGGAAATTAGGTCAGGCCCTAATGCCAAGTGCTGGAGGAACTAGGGACGCAATTTGTCCTGAAATCTTAAACAAAGGAGCTGCAAAAATGTTAAAGAAACACTGAACAAGATCCGCCGGATGACTGGCTCCATTGAAAACAAGCAGCACTTGTGTGGTGATACCAGGGCACGGGCACCACAGCCACCCAGTCTTCCTCTGCCAGGAATGCAGCTTCAAATAAGGGAAGGGAGTAAAGTCTGAGCCTTCAGTGACACAGGTGACGTTTCATAACGGGATCGCTGGGGGGGATGCACTATATCACAGCCGGCGTAACACACACAACTGAACCCCTGCTTCCCAGAGAGCTATATATAGCTAGAGCTTGGTCACATGGGCTGGGAGCTTCCTCCTTTCCCCTCGGTTCGCCCTTAACTGGACACGGCTCCACTTTGCCAGTTGCCACATGCACTCTCCGGTGGGTGACGCCTCGCTCCTGCCCACGCACTCGGCTGAATCCGGAGCGCCCTGCGGCAGCGCACTGTAGCAACACGCCGCCCCACGCCCAGCCAGACACAGGCAGGCGAAAGGTGCAGAGGAGGACGAGGAGCAGCTGCCATTGTGCCGTGCAGCGGCGCCTGCTAAAAAACAGCCCCGTGTGACTGTCCTAATAAAGCTCGGGCGCTTGAGCACCAGCTCCGGGCTCTTCGCGGCGCGCCCTATAAAAACCTTCCTGGCAAAGGGAGCGGGCTCGGCTCGGCACCAGACGCGGACCGGCGGCAGCAAGGAAGCGCATCCGCGAAGAGGGGGCGCCCCCAACAGTCCCGGCGAGATGCCCCACGTAGAAGCGGATCTCAAACTGGACTTTCATGACGTCCTGCTCAGACCTAAGCGAAGCGGCCTCAAAAGCAGAGCCGAGGTGGGGGCATTCAAACCGAGCATGCTTTGGGGGGTCGGTCATTCTGTAGCGTTAACTTCGCAGCCGCTTTCTCGCGGTTTTTATTTCCCAGGCTGCGCAGGGTTACCCGGGGAACCCGCCCCCGCACACCGTTTTAACAGACAGCCGGGGGGGTGTCACTTAGCTGAAGCCACATGGCAGGCGATCTTTCTGCAGCGCGGGGGGAGCGGCCGGGCCGCTGTGCAGCCCTGGTTGGAAAGGCGCCCGCTGCTCGCGGAGAGGTGCAAGGAGCGCTGCTGATCTCTGTGCTGACGTGAAAACTAAAGAGTGCTCGGACCTTAGCCTGCGCCTCGCGACAGGCGCTGCTTTCCTGGTGCATCCGCGGGTTTTTGCAGTGCCCCGGGGCGGGGGAGAGACGGTGACCTAGAGTGTAATTCCCCTGCAGCGCGCAGGGAATGTGTGCGCTGCTAAGCCAGCAGCGGGACACGTCCCCTACCCGGGGGTCTAGTTACAAACCATGGGTCCCAGGGCGAACAGGCCTGCCCTTGAATGTGGCCCCGGGGGGGTGCACGTGACAATAAATACAAAATGAGCTGATGGGGAAGCCCCAGTTAGTAAGAGAGCAGGAGGCGAGATTTTTAATGCCGTGGTGCCATTGAATTGGCTCTGCCTGTCAGAGGGCTGGGATCCTGTTCAGCAGTAACCTATTAACTGGCCGCGTCTATCTCCGTTATGTAAATCCCTGCAGTCTGACCAGTTCTGGGTGTGTAACTGCATCGCCACAGCTGAGTTGGGGCTCAGTAACTGCAGCATATGCAGCTCTCAGTCATCTGACGGAGGATCATTATTAGCCAGTCAAAGCATTTCCATAACGTCTGCATGGTTCTCTCTCAGTAACCTTCACACTCATTACGGGAAACCCCACAAAACTCTGCATCGCTAGGAACTCACAACAAACATGGCTGCCTCATCTTGTGACACCATTCACCCCAGATGTTAAATACCATGTGATTAATACAGGTATTGCATTGGGTTTGGGAAGGGAGGGAGGATTCAGCCTTCAACAAGGGGCAAAGGAGATAGTGAGAAGAATAGGATCAGGAGGGATAAGAGTCAAAGGTGGCTGGATTTGTTATGGGCAGGCATTCTGAGAGCTAATCCAAGCAGAAGCATTTCACCAAGAAGAATACAGGAATAAGGCTGAAGAGTCCCTCTCAGTATGATAATAACTTGAGCAGTGCTCCCTTTCAACTCAGTAATAATGGTATCCTGGGCTAATTTACTCATTGCCCTTATTAGTTCTTCCCTCATAAGCAAGGACCACCTTTGATCATTTTCAGTAGTTCACTTAAGCAGCGTGGAGATTCCTCTTTAAAATTAAATGCAGTGGCCTGGCAAACAGGTGGAGCTGTGGGCTGTGAGGTCGAGGGCCTCTTTTACTTATTTTAATGCAGGGTTTTGTATATTAGCTGTCTGCATGGGGGAAGGAGGGGTTGATATGAAGGGGAAATGCTAGAAGAACCAGGGCTGGTAAGCGAGGGTTACCTCAGGAGAACATGATAAGCAGTGAAAAGCATTTCATGTGAGAAAAGCGCATGTCATGAGGGCTCAAAGAAAGCGGATGAAGGTTAAGAAATTGGACACCATCACTGAGGCTGTAGCAACAGAAACTGACAGTACCTGTGAGAGCCAAATCTGAAACACCCCAGTCCTGCTTCAAAACAAGAGTATAAATAAATAGCGCTGGCCAGGGAACAGAGGCTGCTTACTACAGTGCCTGATACCCAACAAGCTGATGCTTTGAAGTTTAAATTAACAGTACCTGGCAATGCAGTTCGAATGTCTTATTCTACACGGACAGCACTTTACCTAATAGCTGAGAGTAAGTCACCTTCACAGAGGGAAAGTGTAGTGCAGTAGAGCATGGCAAATTGGGCGGTGTACATTCCTTTCCCTGGCTGGTCTGCAGTGTCATCTTTTATTCTTGTTACTTTGCCTTGTCTTTGCTTCCTGGAGTTACTCCCTCCTTTTAGAGAGAGGGAATCAAAATTCAGAAGCTTGAATTCAGATTTTGAAAAAAAGGTGCGGGTAGGGAGGGGGAGTTGCATGGGCCAGGGGCTTCCTAGAGTATAGAATCATTCACCCATAGGGCATGGATTTGAAATCAAACTTGGGTTGGGAGTAACTGGAAGTTGTTAGCATCAGATGGTTGTGGGTGTCCTCGTTGAAGTGAATGCGTGGTCTCACTCCAGTTATTTGGGGGAAGCAGAGATGTGCATGGGTCCCAACATTTGCATTTGGGCACACCTGAGGGGTATTCAGGTTTGGCAGTCAGGCAGGCCCAACTGTGCTGCTGGATTTGGCCACTGTCTGATATCTCTTCTTCTCTCCCCTCCTTGCACAGACAACATAGTTGAGGGAAATGGGTCCTTCTTTCACCTTGACCACAAGAGCACGTGGGGTGGGAGCTGAGCCAATGGTGCATTCCTCTTAGCCATCCCCAGGGAGGAGACAGTGCACAGGACAATGCATTTTCTCCCTTTTCCTCCTTTCACCCCACACTGTCTGATCAGGAGGGGGAAGGGAGCCCAATATCTGCTGGGTCTTTAAGAACAAGGTACACATTGATCAGTGCTCCGTTCTGCCTGCACTACAATTTAGGATCGGGCAGAGCTAATGGAGCATTGATCTGTGTACCATATGACTACTTTTTCTGAGTACCTTGAACATCAATAATGCAGGGGATGATGGATATTTGTCCAAACTCAAATATTGCTAATATTACAGATATGACCAATATTAATTTCAGCTCCCATCTCTGATGGGTGGGTGGCGCATGATGAAACCACAGTTGGCACTAAGCCCCATGTTGGGACTCTGAGGAGAGGGGCCAGGGACAGCATAGTATGGAGGCTGCACCACTCTTACAGGTCACTCCAGTTTCAGGCTGAGATATGCTTATCGGACAATGCTTGGGAAGCTTACACTGCTGCTGCCTGTGCTGGATTTTATTCTCGGGCCCTTCCATTTTGATCGTTGCCAGTCCAATATGTTTCAGGAAGACTAGCCATTAGTTTAAAATTGTAAACTGAAAGAAGGCTGGAGAGCTGCATGAAACTGAGGGAGTTGTTCCTCCACTTACCTTAATGTCAAAACTCATTTCCTGTAAGGTATGGTAATCCGCACGATGCAGTGTGGCTGCTACTGGTGCCCTCATTCCTGGAAAAATGGGGCAGCCTGTTCACAGTAGATAATTTGTGTGTGTGTGTGTTGGTTTTACATTTTTTTTCTAAGTGTACTTTCCCATTGGTGAAAAGTTGCTAGATTAACAACCCAGGAGACTGAAGTCTTCTCTCTAGATACACAGAAAAAGAACGTCATTGGGGGAGGGATTGCAAGCTTCCTCCACAACACCGCTGTCAATACAGCGTTATCCCTGGAAATGTCATTGTACATCTAGAGTAATGTGAGAAAGACACGCAGCACCTACCTGGGTCGTTTCAGAGCTGGAATAAGAAGTGGAAGTGAGGCTCCCTGGAAGAAGAAAGGTCTTATGGTTCAGGCACTGTTCACATCTTGCCCTGTGTCTTGGTGCTCTCCATATGAGCATTTCCTTTCCTCCTCTTTTCATGTTCGTTTGAATGGGCGTTTGGATTGTATATTAGTTTAGAGCAGTGGTTCTCAAACTGTGCTCTGTTATCTCTTCCTGTCCCCAGCTTCTAAATTGCATTAAAAGAAGTACAAATACATTAAATGCTTTGCTAATATTAGCTTTTCCATGTGGGATGTGGCAGAAATTGCTATATGAATATTATGTGATTGAAAATGGGAGGCTGGGTGGGTCTACATGATGGAATTGGGAGTCAATGGAATGGGAGTTGATCCGCAAGGCAATCTCTCTATTAAGATGTGAGCTCCTATTTGGATTGTAAGCTCTTCGGGGAAGGATCTTTCTTTTCCTTATTACGTATTTGGAGAGCCTAATGCAAAAGGTACTCTGCTGTGACTGGGGCCCCTAGGTGCTACTGAAATAATAATGTGGTTTGCATTGTGAAAAAGTTTGATAACTCCTGACTTAGAGCTCCAAAGAGCCTGTAAGCAAACTGTCAAAACCAGGTGTTCTTATGGTATCTGGTGGTGGGCATTTTACCTCATTTCAGCTCTTTGAAGCATCTCTCTGGTGTAGGCTGAAGAATGGAAAATGTAGAAACCAGTGAAGAAGTCTCAGCAGTGTGTGGGGAGATACTTCACAGATTAACCCAATGTCTTAATATTGTGCGTTTGTGTTAACATTTTCTATTGGGGAGTGCTAAATAAGGGAGATGCTCTTTATACAGTAACTCCTCACTTATCATTGTAGTAATGTTCCTGAAAAATGCAACTTTAAGTGAAAGGATGTTAAACAAATCCAATTTTCCCATAAGATTTAATGTAAATGTGGGGGAGTTAGGTTCCAAGGAAATTTTGTTTTGGGCAGACAAAAGGCATTATATACTGTACAGTACTGTACTGTGGTTGGGAAGTGCCCCTGGCTTACCGCACCCAGGCACAGCCTGCTGCAGGCAAGGATGCTAGGAAGTACCTTCGCAGTGGCAGCTTCCCTGGAGAAGAACAGGCGCTGACTTTGCCGGGGGATGCTCCAGGCCCGCCTCTTCCCATCCCTGTTCCACTCCAGGCCTGCCTCTTCCCGCCCCCAGTCCACTTCCTAAGCGCTGCCAAACAGCTGTTTGGCGGTGGAGGAAGCGCTGGGAGGAAGAGGGAGGAGGCGGAGAAGAGGAACTTGTGCAATGCTCCCTTGTAAAGTTGCTGCTCTTCTACAGAATCTTACAAGCAGTGGACAGAGCAGGCAGCCAAACAACATTATAAGGGAGCATTGCACGACTTTATGGTATTGCCACCCTTACTTCTGTTCTGCTGGTAGCAGGGCACTGCCTTCAGAGCTGTGAAATCTGTATAGTATAGGGTAAAAATACACATGACCAGATTTCATGGTCCGTGACATATTTTTCATGGCCATGAATTTGGTAAGGCCCTATTTATAAAATAATTCAAAATCATCTTGACCCTTCCCTTTTCCCATCAGCTCCTATCACTTCTCATTTTAATTTCTTCCCTACCTCCTTTCCCTCTCCCAGCTTCCTTCCCTACATGTCAACAAGGCTCTTCTCTGTATCAGAGCCACAATATTTTGTTTTATGACATTTTCATTCTCAGCTGGGAGGCAGAGGTGGGAATGCTTCCAATGGAAGAAAACAATGGCAAGAGCAAGAGTACTGCGGGGATGAGTGAGAGGCTGGGTTCAATTGTGCTCCCACTGAAATCAGTGGCAAAACTCCTGTTGTCTCTGCGCCATATATAATTGTGACAGCTTGGGGATAATCTCTGTTGGTATAAAGGTACTTACCAGAATTTGCATTCATTCCTCACAGGTAGATCTCATTCGCACCTTCACATTCCGCAACTCCAAACAAACATACACAGGGATCCCCATTATGGTGGCAAATATGGACACTGTGGGCACGTTTGAAATGGCAAAGGTGATGACTAAAGTAAGTGCTGACTTTCATCTTTCTCTGCAAAAGCTGGGAAACCATTTGTTTGGTGACAGAATGTCCTGTAATAAGGCAATCACATACTTTAGATATGTGCATTGGGAGTTAGGATGCAAAGGGAACCGCTGTGATAAAATCAAGAACAGGATGGTAAAAACTTAAGACAGTGTCTTCACTGCAGAAAGAGGGTTTTTTTCACATCAAGATACCTAACCCAAGATAGCACTCTGCATGTAAAATCCTAGTGGGCACAAGGCACAGGTAATTTTTACCTGGCTGTAGCTAGTTGAAGTCAGCCCCCAGTGGGGGAGGGGATAGAATTGATATTATCAGAACCTTTTAGTGACATTACAACCTTGTATGACTTAGAATAATTGCTTCTCTGTTGTTTCTATTTATAAACAGTGCATTATGTAAGAGAAATCTGATTAGCTGCAAAGATTTTGATCATGCAGGTTATCTAGTACTACAGCTACTGCAATCAGAACTCATTAGTTAATTGGCCTCTAGCCTCATGACTCACAACACATCCATGGGGAGCAAGAAACTGAGAATACACTGAACAACTGCATACTTAATGATGGATTATTGCTTATTTAGACACTGATCCTGCAAGGTGCTAAGCACTGTGAACTCTCACTGAAGAGGAATCAGGATCAAACCCTAATTCATTATTATTTCAAGCAAGATTAATATAAAAGTAAGACACAGTGACATGTCAGAGTGCTAAGTTTGCAGCTGCAGAATGGGAGAAAGAGAGATGACTAACTTGCTTGTTTCTTTTCTTTTTCTAGCATGCAATGTTCACTGCTATTCAGAAGCATTATTCTCTGGAAGAATGGAAACTGTTTGCAGTCAATCACCCAGAATGCCTTGAGGTATATTCCCATATTATAAACTCATTCTGCCCTGCCTTAAAGCAGCCCACGCACAGTTATGAAAGTTATTCCTTTATGGAAAATAATACCCATGGCATTGTTCTCTTGACATTGCACAAGGTGTTTCATTACCTGTGGCTCATTTTTAAATGATATTTTCATTATGAGGGGCTTGTCTAAAGGCCAACCTATCACTTAAGTTCAACAGCTTTTTTCATATATAGTACTAGAGTAGAGGTAGGCCTAAAGGAATATACTCTGTCTGAACACTTTGGCACTTAAGTTACGTATCTTATAGATAGCTTGAAAGCACATTTTTGTGTTGCATAGTGATTGCAGTAGTGTCGTCTCTGTAGCCTTGGATCTCTGCAGGAGGTTCTGTGAGCCAGCAGCTGTGGAAGTTATTTTTTCTATGAGGACATAGTGAGGAGGTAGATTAAGGGAGGATTGAGTGAATTGACAGTTCCGAGCCCTATTCTCTAAGGGATCCTCAAAGTTTGCAACTCTGCCTTTCAGTATACAAACTGGTTAAGGTTCTGTGTTTTTGTTGATCTGGGCAACTCAGATGATAATGGTTGCCCATGAAAGAGTCCATTTATACATTTCACGTTATTTTGTAAATAGTTTAAATGTAAATAGGGCTTATAATATGCCACTATTGCTGTATTGAAGAAGAGCCTCAAAACAAAGTGTAGGTAACTGATTGATTTGTCCAGCTATGGTATTTATTTCTGTATGGTTTTATATAGCAGAGCACTTGATAGTTTCTATGGAAGGTTTCCCAGGGTGGGTGGAAACAGATGCAAGAACTGTGCACTTGTCTGATCTCTAAGAGCTGCTGATCATTTCTCTCTCTCTCTCTCTCTCTCTCTCCTCCCCAGCATGTAGCAGTGAGCTCAGGCAGTGGGAAGACTGATTTGGACAAGCTGACAAGTATCCTGGAGGCCATTCCCCTTATCAAGTACATCTGCCTGGATGTGGCCAATGGATATTCAGAGCACTTTGTGGAAGTTGTGAAAACTGTCCATGCCAAGTTTCCAAATCACACCATCATGGTAGGTGGGTAGAAGAGGGGTATTGGGGTTATTGTCCTAAGCAGGGCTCAAATTTTCCTGATGCTGGGTAGTTATGCCAGACTAGCACTTCTGGTGCAGCCCCATCTATTTCTGCAGGATCTAAGTCCTCATTAACAAAATAGAGGGGCCTGAAGTTCTGCTAATTCACATCTTCTGAAAGTCTCACCCTAAGTTCCTGTCTTTGTGGTTGCAAAGATAATCTTCCCCACATGAACAAATACAGTGCTCTTTTTTCCTGAGCCCAAGGACACGGGAAGTAGCTCTGTGATGCTTTGATCTGCCTCCATTCATCTCAGAAGGGTGTTGACTGGGAAGCCAAATGATGACAGTTTAATAAAATGTCAGTGTTGTCACTTTTTCATTACTAATCAGGGTAGTAGAAATGTTCAACGTTTACTCTGAGATTGTGGTTAGAGTTCAGGATTGTGGACAGAGTTCAGATTGAGTTTTTGTCCAACCTCCACCCACCTCCCACACTGACTCTGACCTTTACTCATAAATTTTGTAGTTTCGCCTTCCATGCCAGTGATTCCAAGCTGAGTTCCACAGAGCACTTGCTGGTAGTGTGTGCAGAGCTGGCTGGTCACATGGTGCTGGCTCCTCCTTATTTCCAGCTACTAAATTACATCAAAGGCATCTAAACATAGATTAAATAATTTCCTAATTTTGCTGGATTGGGTCAACAGTTGCTGTAGTTGCCAGAGGACTGTTAGGCACTCATGAATGGGAAGGGGAGGTGTCAGTCCAGTGACTGGAGTAGCCGCTGAGGGGACTTCACCATGGCATGCCTACCCCTCTTCAGTACACCTATGCTGTATCCCTCCTGTCCCATAAGTGCTAATGAGTAGGGAGCTTGTGTAGAACAGGGCACCATGCGGAGAGTGTATGTACACTCTTGATAGCATTATGCCTGCAGCAGAACCACACCAGTTCTGCTGCTAGTGGTCCTCATTGGCCAAGGGGCAGGGAGCTGAATTTGTTCCTTAGAGAGCAGCAAAGGCTCTGGTATTAGAATGATTAGCTGTCTCTTAAAGCTATTGGCCTTTCTTCAAACTAACACAAAAGAAACCACTTGCATGGGCAAGACATTGCCATTCTTTCATGCCAGGCACAAAACTCCTCCACCACACCCTTAAAATAGCTGGGAAAAAAACAGGTTATAACCAGCTGATCCTGCTTGCAGCAGACAATGGAGCTGCATGTTCATGCAACTTAGGGGAGCCCATGTTCTTCCGGCCCACATGGGAAGCACATGGGCTCCCCTAAGTTGCATGGGATGAAGCTGCAGTGGAAAATGGGACAGGGAGGAGGGGGAAGAACGTGAAAGAAAGTGACGCTGAGTTCTGGCTTGTTGTAAATGGGAAGATTGTGCTGGAGTGCCCATGGGGACCTGGGTAACCATCACCTAACAAACAGGCCCACTGCCAAAGTGACCAGATAAGATGCATGTGTGTGGCCCAATTCTGCCTTCTTTGCACACACACATAGGGTGGATTTGATTTAAATCAAATTGATTTAAATAATGATTTAAATCACTAGTCAGGAAGACTTGATTTAATCATAGTTTTCTACATGCATTCTTGTTTGTTGTTATAACCTTAATACATATTCTTCACAACTCAGAGATAGATGTAGGTTTCATCATATACATTTTTAAACAGTGATTTATTTTGAAAACTTTTCAGATTAG